AAGCTCGGCAGGCTGCTCGGCGGCATGGCGGGCACTGTCACCAATAGTGCGGTGGTGCTGGGCACCGACCTGGCCACAGGACAGCGACGGGGGGCCAAAAACGCGGGGTGGAAACGTCGGCAGCGTCTCAGGCAGATGCACGCCCGGCACACGATTTTAAAAAGGTACCGTGACCGTTTGCCTCGCCAGAAGGGGCGGATCGGCAAGATTTATGTTGCGGGTGTTTCCCCTGCTGCTACGTTTGGCGCTGCCGTCGGAGGGTTAGACGACACTGAGCTTCAGGAAGCTCAAAGAGTCGTGTTGACCTACAAACCTCCTTATCACCGCGGGGTGTCGTTTCACGCCAAGTTAGCGCTCTCGGGGGACCCTGTCTGGAGGGCGGGAGTTGCGCCAGCGTTGCACTGGGCGCACATCGTTTGGACTGCCCTCACTTCCCCCTCCTCCTCTCACTACAACATTAAGGAAATATGTCAGATGTGGTGTGCTGTCCCCATGGACGAAGAAGTCACTTGGAAGAGTTCGCGAGGGCCCATCCAGATAATGCATTTGTCGTTGAATCGTATTGGGTGGCGCAGTGTTTCTGCTCTCGCGTGGCTCGACGACGCTGATAGAGTCGTGCATCTTGGGTATAACTCGCCTGCCCTCCTAGGTCAGTTGCTGCAGCTCGGCACTCAACGACACCATGAGAGAGTTTTGGCTAGGCTCCTGCCGCCCTTCAATGGGACGCGTGTTTGCACGGAACCCTTGGCCCGATTGTTGTGCCCCGAGTCCAAAAAGTTGGCCCCGAGGGAAAAATACCTTGTCACCACTGCGTTTTGTGAAGGACTCTGGACCAGAGCCAGAGCCCGAGCTTCAGGCTACTTCTGCGATGGCAGGTGCCCACTCTGTGGCGAGCCTGACGGAGTCAGGCACCGCGCCTGGAAATGTCAGCATCGCGATGCTGTCCAGGCTCGGCAAGATGCGGCTGTTGATCATCCCGAATGGTTGCTGGAGGCGACCGAGAGCGCGCATCACTGCTTCTGGGGCGAGCTCAAGTTGGACCATCCAGGGTCGAAGCTCCCTCCGCCCAGCTCCGACCCCAACCCGAAGCTGTTCAATCCCGAGGGGCAGGAAATTGTTTGGGACTCCATTGACCTCCAGGGCCTGGACATTTGTATGGGCGGTTATTGTGCTCGTCATGTTGTGAGGGATTTGTCTCGGGCCGCCTTCGCTTGGGTCTTTTTGGACCCGTCAGGGTCGATTGTTGCTTATGATCAAGGAACGGTGCTGGACGTGCTCCAGCAGACCCCGCAGGCGGCTGAGCACCAAGCCATGGCGCTGGTGCCCTTGTTTGTTGAACACAGCGGGGATCGTTATTCTGATTGTGCCACCGTCACTAAGTTGTGAAACGCGCCAGTGCAGCATCAGATCTCGAGAAAACACCGCTACGCGGGAATGCGCCGTGGGGCTTCTCTGAATGAGAAACGGGGCCATGAGTGCAAGGTTATTCACACGCCAGCCCACCGCTCTCAAGCGGTTATCGATAGTCTCCCAGGGCCTGAGAGAAGGATCGCTATAGGTAACCAAGCTGCGGATGCCTTAGCCAAGCAAGCTCTCCTCCTCCACCCTCAGGCCCCTCCTGCGGTGCACCAAGAAGTTAGCGATGATATTGATAAATTAGCGTTCGCGGCCAAGGTCATGGCCAAAGTTTTGTGCGTTTTCCCCGTCGAGAAATTCGAGCGGCCCCAGTCTGGACCGAGATGTAAATTTTTACGGACTGGAGGGTGGCACCACTGGGAAAATCTCGATGGGGGCCGTGCCAGGTGTCTGTGATGCCTTCAGTTGAGTAGTGACCCTGACAGCCGGCCTGAACTGGGCTGCCGAGGGCCGAATCGTACTTGGAAGGGTGTTCTGGATTTCACCAAGGGCCAAACTCTCGCGCACACGTTCGTCACGCGCAAGCAGAAAGTATCTAGCATGATGTTTTGTACCACGTGCGGAGCTTACACGTCCCGCCGATGCTTCAAGCTCGGTCAAGAATGTATCGGCAAGAAGATGCCAGGGGCTAAGACGACCCTCCCTAGGATCATGTCTGGCCTCCACCCTCACTATAGGAACGAGGAGGATCGTGTTTCGTCCACTTCTCGAAGAGGAGTGAACTATCTTTGTTATGCTGCCACCGCTCCGCCTCCCCCAGAGGTCTCTCGGCCTGCCTTCGGGATGGAGGGACTGGTGCAGACGCCTGGGATGCTAGCGGTTCTGGCTCGCATCCAGGCACGTGAACTGGCGCGCGGGAGAACCCCACAGGCGCCAGACGGAGGCGGATAGTTCAGATTGACTTTCTGTGGCGCAGGGCCGCCCTTCAGTTGTCGTTTGATTGCACGGCCCGATGCGACTGACCCTTTTTGGCAGGCATCCGTGCTAAACCCCACATCTGGGGCGAGTCTGGCAGCCGTCCTGGCGCTGTTTGCACCAGGGGTTTCTGGCCTCGTCGTCCTTGCGTGGGTGGTCGAGTCTTCCCAGTGGCGAGGGTTCGCCGTCTCGTTCTATTCTCTGCGCGGCCCGATGCGGCTGACCCTTTTGGCAGGCATCCGTGCTCTACCCCACATCTGGGGCGAGCCCGACGGTCGTCCTGGCTTTGCGGCGCCAGGGACTGTGGGCTCGTCGTCCTCTTGTGGGTGGTCGAACCTTTTTCTTTGATTTGGTTGTGTGCGTTCTCGTTGTGCGTGCGTCCGTCGTGCACGCGTGTCAGGCGCCCCACTTCTGGGGGAAGGGGCATGCACACCTAGGGTGCGCGTCTTCATGGTCCGAGCACTGTTGCTGTGGCCCTTGAGCTTTGGTTCTGGGCCCCAACATCTCTTTTTGTTGGCGTTGGGCGCGCGTCATCGTACAGGCTGCCTCGGTTCGGCCCGCTGCCGAGGTCGTAGCCTCACGCCAGATCCACACGGCTATCGCCCCATCTGAGGACGAGGCCCCGCTCGCTAGGCCGACGGATGTGGATTCTGGAACTGATTGTGAGGACTGTGCTTAACCTAACAAGTAGGTCAGCCAAGCACGGTCTTGGTTGTCGCACATCTTGTGCGCATGTCGGCTAACTGTCGCCGCCCTCGGTCCTGCCCACTGGCTCGCAGAGGAAAAATATTTCCATCCTTTGCAGTGTCCTCTCGCTTGGTTGACCTCCATCTTGGTCACCGGTCTTTAGTGTGTGTGTGTGTGTTGCCGTTAGTCGTTCAGGGTGTCTATATCAGTGCGGTATTTATTGTTATGCTTGTTAGTTGTATTTCATGCTTGCCCTGGATGCTGTCCCCATGAGTTTTACAGGTATGCATATCCTTCTTGTAGTGTGCCATCGCTTGTTCTTCTCTTGGGAGCTTCTTGTTCAGGCTCTCGTAGCGGTCTGTGGCGGTGTCGTTTGCAGATCCCAGTGATGGTGCACCAACGTTTCCATGGTGCCGTCAACTTGGATGTGGTGTGGCGCTCCTTTGCCTAGTTTTGCCTGGTGGTTTGTGGTCCTCGTGCTCGTCTTCCGCCCCCTTCTCGAGATCCCCGATTACGTGTTCCATCATTTGTGCGTACACGTCGAGCTTGCGGTGGACCTCGCCGATGTGTTCGTTGACTTGTTCGAGGTGTTCCTGCGCGTTGTTTCTTGCGTCCTTGAACGTCTTCCTGTAATCATCAAGGTCCTGAGCGGGTCTGTAACCCGGCAGTTGTTCAGGATCATGGCCTTGTTGAGCGCAATCATGTTGCGGGAGTCCTATGAGAGTAGTTCGGCGTGGTTATGCCTGAGCGCGACGAGCGCGTAGGATTTTTAGCGTCTGTAGCGCGTTGTCCTTCCATGTAGCGTATTTCAATGAGGATCCTGGCGGTTCCTCCCATTGGGGGTGGTTGGTAGCGTCCTTCTTTCTCATGAGTAAGACGTCTGGTGTGGTGGTGTCGATGATGGCGTTGCGTTGCAAGGCAGGATGATCTGGCTTCCTCCTTCTCGTGTTGGATGATTTGGCTCTTGTCATTCTGGGTGCTCTTGTTTCACGTGGCCAGACCTGCGCCGACTGCCGGTTTGGGCCGTGCCGCTGGGTTCGGTGACGATTGTGATCGTTGTGGGCGTGGTTGCCACTGCTTTGGGTACCATGGCGGCTGCCTGAGGTTGTGGTTGGTGGTTGTTGGGCGTTGTAGGGAGCGCTGGTAGGACGAACGCGTCGGCACGCGCACGGCGGAGGCGCCTGTGTCAGGCGGGGCTGCGAGTCCGCGTTGTGGATGTAGGCGTGGCCCCACGCCAGTGAGCGACAGCAACAGATTTCGAAGAGGTTGTGCAGGGTATCGCGGGCCCTGGGGCCGCGCTTGGCCGCCGCCGCGAAAACCTGCGGGCCTGTCCCTCCTGGGGCGGGTTCGGGCACACGCGGCCACTCCTCGGCATCCTTCTCCTCCCCCTCCGCATCCCGAGGGAGCAGAAGAGCGACCGCGGCGCCGCGGGCGATGACGACGCCAGCGGCGATGACGACCTCGACCTCGTGATGTTTAATGTGCCCCCCCGGAGCTCTGGACCCCTTCTCCGAGACTGACCTATCAGTCCGCTGAGCATTTTTGTTGACGGGTCCGGCGCCGGAAAATGAGGCCCCCTTCAGCACGAAAATGGATAGACAAACGCTTGTCGTGACTTTTCGACAGTCAGGAATTTTGGTTTAGCGTGTCGCGCCACCAGCCACCAGGTCAGGCCCACCATGCTTCGGGGCGACACGCTGTCCTCTCCCTGGTGCCCTAGAGTCAGTATCCCAAGACTTTCCCAGCCTCCTGCCCCGCGGAACGGAGCGACAAACTCTCCACTCGCAGGGCATAGCGTGTCGCCGGGGCCGCCGCGGCGACGCGCTAAACAAAGGTTCTTGACCGTAGACACGAAAGGTTGAACCATTCGTGGCTTGAAGAATTTGCGACGCCGCCGCAGAAGCTGGTTCTGCGGTGGCGGCGGCTGTGACGACGACGGCGGTGGACCCGAGAGCCCCCGCGCGCCGCGAAGCCTCCGCCAGGCGGGGCTCGGCGACGCCGGCGGCGGTGCCTCCCTCGGCGCAGAGGCGCGGCGGCTGAGCGACAAGGCCCCCGGTGCCGTCGCCGTCGCCGCCGCCGTTGTTGTCACCGCCAGCACCGTCGTCGCCGTCGACGACGCAGACGCTGCCGCCGTCGGCGGCGACGCAGACGCCGACCACGGCGCCGACGGCGGCTGGCGCTGGAGGCGGCTGTCGCGGCGCCCCTCGGGCGCTGACCCTCCGTCTGCGAGTAGGAGCGCGCGCGCCTTGCCCTTTCGCCGCAGGGGAGCATGCTCGGCATGTCCCGGCGGATCGCGAGCGGGATCTGCGTGAGTTCTGTGCCCTTTGGTAGGCGCGGCGAGGCGGCGCTTGCACGCTCGCATAGAAGCTACTGCGTCCTCAGACAAACGGGTCATGAGGTTGTTCACCGCTTTTGGCCCCCTGGGGCCCTCCACGGCTCAGGAACTGTCAGAAAGCGACTCAGGACCAACAGTTGTTCTCTGGGAAGGCTCAAGAGTCTTGGACTAGTTTCTCTCAGGACCCGCTTGCTTCATACCAAGCAATCTTGGCAGCGCAACGCATTGAGCATTTGGGAGGTGGTCAAGCGCTCGCGGAGGCGTGCGCGCGCTCGTGGCGTTGGACCCCCCTGCCTACGCCTCCGATGCCGCCCCTTGCTCGCTTCGCGTGCCAAGGACCAAGGAGGAAGGTCCAGCGCTGCAGAATTTAATTCGCGCGGACATCCGAAACCTTGTAGGTTTAGGCTGTCCTTTTCTTTGAGTACAAGGAGGGTCGTCTTCTCTGCGGCTGAAGGACGCGACTCCTCCTATCCGCAGCCGCGTTTTCGTCTCGACAGGAGCAGCTTCGGCGGCATAAGTGCGCACAGTGCCACCAGGGCTCAAGGAAGGAGGAGGAGGAGGAGGAGGAGGAGGAGGAGGAGGAGCAGGAAGAGCAGGAGGAGCAGGAGGAGAGAGCAGTAGAAAGAGGAGGACAGTGTAGTGGAGGTGCATCCATTCGGGGCACTACGCTCTGCCCTTCGCCTCTCTCTTTGTACTTGCCTTTATGTGCTTGGTTCGGCTACGACTTTGTACTGCAGTCAGGGGCCGACCGACCCAGGAGGAGGAGGAGGAGGAGGAGAAAGAGGAGGAGGAGAACGGAGAGGAACAGGATGAGGTGGGCCTACTGCGTCCTCGCAAGGATTCGACCCCCAAGACCGTCAACGATCGAACCGCGGCTGGGTTGGGCCCGAACATCTACCCGAACTCTGGGGGCCTGGAGCAACATCGGAGCGTCGGATATCTGAGATGGGGATGGTGGGGAAGCGGGGGCGGACGGGGAGTGAGGGGAGACGGGTGTTGGAGGGGAAGGGCAGGGAGGGGGAGGGCGCAGGTGGGTGGTGTTCTCCCCCTTGTCGGACGACGTCCCAGGCTGTCATTCTGGAGCTCTCCTGGGGATCTTTGGAGCCGTCGTGGAGGTTCGGGGGGGCTGGCCGAACAGCCCGTTGTTTTCGGCCTTCAGGGCGCCCACGAAACCACAACCAGACAACGACGTCGCCCCAGGACGGACCACAACCTCCCACGCAAGGTCCAAGACGCCGCCCAGCAACGGCCTCGGAATTGGACACCTGACGTGCCCCAGCGGTCTTCTGAATTACCCAATATGACCTCCCAGACCGCCCTCAGGCTTCCAAGACGCTCCCCGAGGCCTACACCAAGCTCCCCATGGCCTTCCAAGACGCTCCAAAGAGGCCCTGGAGAATGACCCCAAGGAGGCCTCCAAGAGGCCGTACAATAGGACCCCAAGAAACACTCAAAGACACAATGCCGGGCGAACGAGAGGCTTCCAGAAACACCCAGTGACACCCAAAGCGGTCACACATGGCCCAATAGAGCCCCGAGATCATGGTTGGAAGTACCCAGAGACCCTCAGGAAACCGCCGCCCTCAACAAGACCCCACAATGCCCCCCTCCCTCCACCCAACATGTCCCAGCCACCGTTTTCGATGTGTGTTCGTTTCCGTTCCGTTGTCCTTTGCTGTGTAGCGCGCGGTTTCATGAAACTTAGGGATCGGGGATCGCTGTTCCTTGACACCTTTCTGAGGATCTGCGAATCGACGTGTCCCGAAGCGTCGCTTGGAACGTTGTTCGAGCCGTGAGGACGAGGATGAGGATAACGGGCGACCAGAATGCACGGAAGGAGAAATCAGGCAGAATGTAGAGGAGGAGTATCACGCTGTTTTCGAACTGAATTTCTTTCTAGCAGCCCCTAAGAGGCCGTCCAAAACCCTACACATGAAACAACATGGCCTTACCATTCCAGGTGGACATCCATGATCTCATACGTATTATTTCTGGGAGCCTTCCCAGTAACCCAGTGATGAGGCGGACGGCACATATGACGAATGAAGGAACGTTAAGAGATAATGAGGGGGCAGCACCCGAACCGACCCCAACACAGCCTCCGAGCGGCTTCCCAAGAAACCATACATAGTCCAGTAGGACTCCCTTAAGATCCTAGACGGACGTTCCCAGAGTATCGGACACCAGGTGACTCGCCGAAGGCGTCTTCGACCCTGAGCATTAGTGTCAGACTCAGTCCCCGGCCTGCGCGCATCTGAGTATGTGCGTACGTCTATAGTTTGTCGCTTTCCCTCCTCTCTTTCTTCGAGGGGACCTTTTTCTTTCAAACGATGGCGCGTGAGGCCCCATTGACCAGCGTTCGCCTGGACATCTTGTCGTATATCCAGAGGCGACTGCTACATTCCACGATTTCGTGGGCCCCTTCTTCTGGGCCATATCGGTGTGCTCTTGTAGTTTTGTTTTGCTGCCTCTCACACAGCCCCCGGGAGCCTCCCAATAAGCTCGCAACGGGCCTCCAAAAGCACCCACATAGGTCCCAGCGGCTTGCCGACGAGGCCTCGAACAACAAAACAGTATGCTTGCCTACGATTCTACAGTCAGGACGGGGAAGGCCAGGGCACGGGAAGGCGGGGCAGGCCAGAGAAGCCAGGGGGGCCAGGGCACGGGGCCGACCAGTGAGGCCAGGAGGGGAAGCAAGGGGAGGCAACGCCGACACGAGGACACGAACATAAAACAATTCGAACAATTGGGGGGAAGGCCAAAAAGACCAAAGAGGCCAGGCAGGCCAGGGCAGGGAGGCCACGACGACACGCTAGGGCATGGGGGAGACCAGGAGGACCAAGGGGGCCAGGGGAGGCCACGACGGCACGACGACACGGCAATATAGCAACCCGCCTCCGTGTGGGGTGGGGGGCAGAGAGGGGGCAGGGAGGCCAGGGCAGGGGGATGGGGGGGACACTAGGGAGGCCAAGGTGGCCAGGGGAGGCCGCGCCGACACGACGACGCGAACATGACGCAATCCGGTGCCCTGGGAGGAACGGGTGAGGCCAGAGAGACCAGGCAGGTCAGGGAAGCCAGGGCAGGGGGTGTGATATATACGCAGTACATCTTGCGTAGTGTGCAGAGCATGACTGTAGCATAGCGAGCGTACTGTTACGTTTTTGCCAAAACCCTTTGGGGTCCTTGAGTCGAGCGCGCCAGCGGTATGAAGAAATCATCATATGTTCTTCTGGCTGTTCGTTCTTATTGCCATCAAAGCCTTCCTGGTAGCGGGGCCTGGTAAGCCAGGTTCACGCTTCGACCTTCAATATCTCAGCGACCTCTCTTCGGATCTGGTTGCCGCTTCCATAAGCAGCTTCGATCCCCCAGGTGATCTCAGCGATTTCACAGCAGATCCCAGAGGAGATTTTCAAGTCAGTTTCTCGGCAGCCCACACACACGACCTCACAGTCGGTTTCATAGACAAGGGCAGTTTCGATTTCGATCAGCAAGCACCGGACGGCAATTCCATGCAGGTTCAGTTCAGCACGATGTTTAAGCCAATGGCGGACATGCTATCGGAGCGAGGAGTTCCACAGTTCGACGGCACGCCCAGCAAATGGACAGGATACGAGGAGCGGGGGATTATTTTCATTGCGAAGCTCACATTGGAGAAGAGGGAGGGCGAAGCGGCTCCCATGCTCAGCGCAGGTCTCACAGGTGAAGCATGGGACGAAGTTGAGGACCTCTCAGCAGACGAGCTCATCGAGCCCAACGCGGCGAAGCAGCTCATGGCCATATTACGGAACTGTTTCAAGATGGACGACAGGACGGAGATCGCGGACGATTTTGAGGAGTATTTTTGCAAGCTCAGGCGGTACAAGGGCGAGACGCTGTTCGCCTACATCTCCAGTGTGCGCGCTGCAGAGCGCAAGCTCAGGACGCGCAACATCGAGCTACCGGCGAAGGTCCGAGGCTGGCTCGCGCTGCGACGAGGGGGGTGCAGCGCGGACCAGAAGGTGGTCATCATGTTTGTAGTTGGTAAGGATACCACACAGGTGAAGTTGATCGAGGCGTTGGAGACAATGTTCGGGCAGGACAGCATCATGCACGTGCCGAATCACGCACGGAAGCAGTATTTCGTCGACGGGGACACAGCAGAGTACTATGGCGAGGAGTTCTATGCTGGCGAGCCTGAGGACGAGCCAGACGACATTGACCAGACGTACTTGGCGGAGGATGACGAGACATGGTACGACTGCGAAGAGAGCGACTACCAGCGCGACCCCAACACAGCGCAAGAGCTCGACCAAGTCGAGCACGACGAAGTCTACGCAGCCTACGCGGGCGCCAGGATGCGGTTCAACGACCTGAAGTTAGCGCGCGGTTTCGACCCAGTAGTGGCGATGGTAGGCGGAAATCCATTTCGGCCGCAGCATCAGCAGGAGGTTCACACGGACGAGGCTGGCCAAGCAGCACAGGCACCAAAGGGCGCGGCAAGTCCGAAGGAAGCAAGGGCAGCCCAAAAGGATCATCGCCTCCAGGCGCATACAGCAGTCCACGACCGACAGCAGCGGACCCAATGGGCAGGGCAAGGGCAGCTACGAAGCCAGCGCCGACATCAACACCGTCGGCCAACGGCCTACGACGCGGCAAGCCCGGCCACTGGGCTAGGGACTGCACCGAGCCTCCCAACAAGAAGCGGGTCCACGCCGACGACAGCTCG